AGAAAAGAAGGTAAGAAAGATGGTTGGATTTGAATGTTATTATGAATCATTCAACTACATTCGTTGCTTCCAGACTCTGACAGTGATGACCAGTGTGATTCAGGCTCAGGCGAAGGAGAGATACTCGTTTGAGTGGGATGGAAATAGATGGTTCCTTGTTCTCGTATTTCTTATGAAGCTTGGAGGAACAGCTTTATATTAATTCTGAGCACTCGCAGTATTATAGAAGGGGGATAACCATTACAATTCATTTCAACTTGCAGTAAGAGACCATAAGTTCAATAGATTTAACTGAATTTAAATTGAGGCTGATGCCTTTTCCCTCGAACTCATAAAGGACATTATCACTGAGCGGCTCATAGCAATATATTTCTGAATTGGACCAGATTGAAATAGCTTTGCATGTTCTGTTGGATTACTGATGCTTGTGGAAGATTTTCACAGCTAATTACAAAGAACACAAACAAATTAGACAAAAAATAATGATAAACACTTCACTTTCATGAACGTTATGAGTGGAGCCTTAAAACTTTATAAGAAAATAAGAGGACCACAAACGATGTGTGGCGCAGTGCTCTAGACAAACTTAAGACGCAATTCTTTTAAGTTTTTTATTTGAACAGCTTATTAATGTATGATTTCTCTTTTTGAAAGTGTTTTTAAAAAAATACGTTAAAAAGAGATAGAGGACTTTATAAAAATCAGAATTAAAAATTGTATAGTGTATTGTTTACGAAGAAAACAATGGGCCTCATTCACGAACGGTTCTTAGGAACAGATTTGTACGTAAATCCTACTTACGCGGTTTTTACGAAGAAAGTGGCATTCACGAATATTTCTCGTAACCAGAATTTGTCTTGGGCAAGTACAAATCCTACGAGTCCTCAGGAGCACTCGTACGCATTCAGTGCCGACATGTTCACAGCCGGGGTTGTCCTCTTTGGTGAAGTTGAATAAAAATACAACATTCCAGTGATATGTCCGTCATATCGATGTATGTATTTATTTATTTGTAGTAATCTTTATTAGTAATCTTTATTTATATACCGCCTTTTTCACTGCAGATCTGGCCTACTTTTTAATTCATTTTGAAATGAAATGTGCCAACGCTTTATCAAATACATTGGAAATCTTGCCGTGTATTAGTGACCCCTTCCTATTTATAGGGGGCATTTCTTTATTCACGGGCCACAGAACAACGGCATATATACTGCTGCTGCAGGAGGTTACTGGGTCCGCGCTGAGTCTCTGCGCTGGTCTCTCCCATGGATCTATACTGGTCTGCACTGGCCTCTCCCATGGATCTATACGGGTCTGCGCTGGTCTCTCCTATGGATCTATACGGGTCTGCACTGGTCTCTCCCATGGATCTATACGGGTCTGCGCTGGTCTCTCCCATGGATCTATACGGGTCTGCACTGGTCTCTCCCATGGATCTATACGGGTCTGCGCTGGTCTCTCCCATATACGGGTCTGCACTGGTCTCTCCATACGGGTCCGTGCTGCATGCTCCTGGATCCTACGGGTCCGCGCTGGTCTCTCAAGTCTGGTCTATGCGGTCTATCTTCGGTCCGCGCTGGTCTCTGCGCACCGGTCTCTCCAGTCAGGTCACTCCAGTCTATGCGGTCTCTCCTATAGGTCCGCGCTGGTTTCTGTGTGCTGGTCACTCCAGTCTCTCCTCGGGTCTGCATTGGTCTCAGCGCTGGTCCGCGCTGGATCTCCTCCCAGGGTCCAAAATATTTTGAGATTAATCTCAAAACATTTTGAGATTCATCTTTAAAATAATACATAATATATTTTTAAATTAAGATCATAACATTTTGAGATTAATCTCATCATATTCTTAGATTAATCTCATAATTTTGCTAGTTCGACTTTATTATCATAATATTTCGACTTTTAAGTCAACATTTTATAACTTTATTCTCAGTCTGGCAAAAGCCTGCTTTAGGCCTGTTGCTGTTTCCTCTGGCGTCTGCACACGGCCCTGCAGTCCCTTATATGGGCATTAGTGGGCGGTTACTTATGCTAAGTACCTATGGTAATGAAGCACCTGGCACGCGCGCTGTACTTACGAGGAAATGGGATTCATCAATCTGAGAGAACAGCTGCGAACAATTCAGCGGCTTACGAGTGAGTTAATGAATCCCACGTGGGGACTTCCTAGAAATCTACTTAAGGACAACTTGAGAAGAAAGTTGAGTAGTTTCTTACGTAGTTATTCGTGAATGAGGCCCATTGTCATCTCCCACTTACAACCACGTCCAAACATTTGATCCATCCAACCGGGCTAAAACATGACTTTTCTGCATCTAGCTTGGTGATTGATAGCACTGACATTATTTTTTTAGAGCAGTTATATATAAACCAAAATGACGTATGCAAGGAATGTATTCAAAATTTTAACAAAATAAGAAAAACGTTTCTCATGTCCACAACATAAATTGCTTCGATGCATTAATCACATTTTCTGCGTGTTTTCATCACTGTCAGTGAAAAAGCTTTAATACTTTCAGCGAACACTTTCTGTTTGCAGCTTCAGTGAATGCAGGCATGACTCACTAAGCCATTGATAAAATGGTTCCTAACCCTGAAGAGTTTATAAGCGCCGCTGCAACTGCTACCACTAGAATCCATCCAATCGGTTCAGACACTTTAATTACTCACATTGATATTTTGCAGGGACTTGGAAGCTGCTACTGATCCCTGAGCATGTGCATATGTGTAGCAGTAATGGTAAGTAGTAGCGGCAGGCCTCAGATATAATTGGAAAATTAAAAGAGCGATTAAGTTCAAGTGGTCCCTGTGGTCCCCCTCCCCAGAATATGAATCTGACCTTATCAACTGAAGCTATGTTCCTCACCAGACGACTGTTCTACTCATCAGGAAAATGTAGCTTTTATGTTCATATGTTTGTGGGCACAATTTAACAGAAGTCTTCAAGCAGCAATTTTCCACAATACAACATTAAAAAAAGATTTGGTTCCAGGCGTTTGAGCAGCGTGTGGTCTCGGTCTGAGGATGTGAGTGCCAATGTCTGTCTTGCGTTTCTTTAAATTGGTATTACTATTTGAAAATAAAACGTTCTCCTTTCTAGCCATCCTGATATTTTTGTGTCTGCAATGTTGGACACCATTTATAAGTTTTATGTGCCCTAAATAACCCATTTCTTGTGTTCTTATACAGATTATTGATTCTCACGCCTTGCAGTGAATATTTTGGATGTGAAGAATTTGGCAGACGAGGAGGAAGCAGGCTTTCCACCTGTTGCTTTCTGTGCTACAACAAGGGTAGAATTAGTTTTGTGTTTTTTTCCAAATTTGAAAAAGAGCTTTTTCAAACATAATTTCACTACTTCATGGGCGATACTTGTTAAAGCCAGAAAACAGGTCTGAGGGTGATGTAAATGTGGTGATGTGTGTTTTTTCTTCCACCCACTGCATGTTGTCTCTACAAGTTTGTGAGTTGTGTGTCTGAAGTAGGGCGTTACAAGGGAGTTCCAGAAGATCTGTTGTGTTTGACGTTTGTGGTTGAAGATTAATTTCCTTTTTTGTTTTACTGCCTGTTGTACCATAATTCATTTGGCAAGATCTTTCAAGCAAAAACTCCTGTCTGAAGGTGAAACGTTATGTTGGTGATTCTAAAATTAAATGTTTTGTTTGATCACAGGCCACAATGAACCATATATTTGGTATGAGTACCATACAGTATAAGCCCACAGGGGCTCGACACATGTGTGCATGCCATTTCAATTTTTTATTTTTTATTTGTTTATTTATTTATTTGTGTACACTATACCTTTTTAATTAAATAAATATAATAATACAATGACATCCTACTAAAAGACTGAGATATGAGCTTTTAGACTTTTGTTCCAGACGTCTCTGATATTAGCATGGTTGGATCTAAAAATGTCCTTAGGTCTGTTTTAGATGAGGAACAACACTGTTACATGTTAAAAACAATTCAATATAATAATGTATCTCGGTTAAGTCGACAAAACATGGCAATAATACCACACACAATGCTCAAAGACTCTCCAAAAGAAGACAACCGACAAGTTCCAATACATTACGTCTTTAATGCACAGTATTCACTTTCACATTTCATGAGGATATCTTCAAAACTAGAGAGAAATGTCATGAACAAGTGAAACTGCAGAGGTTTCCTGCAGCGTGGCTGTCACCTACAGCTCAAGTCGACGCATTAGTGATGCAGAAATTGTGCTTTCTGATCGATCAAACCTTTTAAGCAAATTTCATTCTTGGGAGAAAAGATCCCGTGCGTCATACGTCAATCAGAATACAAGTTGATCTGAATTTTAATGGCCCAAATCTTCATATACGCTTTGGGGTCATGACTCTCCTTTGGAATAACTACTTTACACTAAAAACATTTTGTTTTCTCGTTTACGCTGTCACATTTTCTTTCACGTGGTTCATGTAAAATATATCGTCTTTATTCGCTTGTATTGAAGACTGCATCATTCTGACTATCCCTATTTTGCTTCCACAAATATAAGCCGCTTTTCTTGTACATACATGAAAGATCAGCAGGATGTTGTCGATAATCATAAACCTGTCTCTTCATCTTTTCTCATAATTGTCCTTATTGTACTAATCTTTTCTTTATATAATTTTTGAATCATACATATGCATTTACACTTCTGCCGAGGAACTGTGGCGTATGTACATTCACACATATGTTCATCATTTACATTGTCCCTATGAAATAAATAAATGCAAAAATACAAAAATAAATAAATTCACAGATATATTTTGAAAATCTACATCTGCTCACATGTTCTTTATGCATGGGTGTCATACATTATATACAAATAAGAAAAGTATGCTATAGTACTATTACAATTATTGGAAGTTATGCAAATGAGAAGAATGGTTGTAGATTGTCTGAATATTAATCCATATATTCATTTTGGTATTCTATGTTTTCCTCATTAGGCTCTGATTCCTTCCCTGATTAGGTTCTCAGCATTAGACTCAGAAGCACAGAATGTTCGGCTGTATTTTCAGGTCTGGTTTGGTTTCTGTGGTGAGTTTGGCACCAGTCCCATGCTCCAGGGGCTTCCAAGACCACACCAAGCCCAGCGAGGAGGGACTCAAGTGGGGTGCGAGGGCAAGCCAGCTCCCTGACGAGATCAAAGACAACCGCAACATGTTCACAAGGCAGCGACATGAAAGCTCTTCATTGACGAAAGGAGGCGAGAAATGAGCACAATGGATTTCCTATTTGTCAGATGATGCTGTATGTTGCCTATTATGAGAGTCTGTTCAATTTAATAGCAATAGTCTACATGGAATCAAGCAGAATTAATACAACTAATATATTGTTGGATGGGTATCGGTACCAACAATAGTTTTACAATACCGATGTTGATATTATTGCAACAACACAGCATCAGTATAGGGTAAAACTAAAATGTCTCACAACGATGGTCTAACAATTGTCTAATGGGTAATAGACCTGGTATTTTCATTTTTTCCAAATATATTTGTTGTTCAGGCCTTTTTTTTAATGTTTTTTGACAAATGACCGGCAAAACAAAACAAAATAATGATAATGAAAATGCTGAAAATACGGATCTTAGTATTACAATAGAATTAACAACCTGGCCTTGTTAACATTAACCACAGGAAAAATGAAAATAAAAGGACTTCTGGGAATCATATATTGTTGTTTTGCATCTTTATTGTTTTTTTTGTTTTTTTTTCACTGTTGCATTGATTTCATTGTACATGCATGTGTGGGATTATTGCATGCAAACGTCATCAGGTGTGGTGGTGAACAAATATCACAGTTTTTACTTTTACTCAAACAAAGTTGACCGGTAGTTACCCGTTTCCGTTATGGGTAAACACTGAAACCCACAGTATCGTGATTGGTATCTGGCATGAAAAAGCTGGATCGGCATCCCTAATTATAACAGTGTTTACTTAAGTAATTATGCAAACATCACAAAAATAACCAAAAACGATACTGATCTCCGCCACAGTCTGTCTCATGCTTCAGTCATCACAGGGCAGTGTTGGCATATGGTGTGTTCAGATGGGGCTTGTTTACAACGTTCAAAGAGAAATCACAAATTAACTTCCTCAGCTTGTTGTAAAGGCTGTTCTGTTCATGGTCAAAAATGTATTCATATGTGCTGCTAATTTATATTTTTAAGGATACTTATTGTTCAAAATCCAGTTTAAAGAGCCGTTAACGTGTTGTTTAATTCATTCTCTTGAAATTTACTTTCAAGCTAAAGCTATATTACTTACACAAAAATACTGTTCTGTAGCTTGCAATGCATTGTGGTTCGCCTAACACGAAACACTATGCTGATGTTTTAAATCATGCTGATGACAGTACATCTATTTATTTTAAAAGTCAAATGTAAAGGAGCCAATAAGGAGTCTCTGAGTGGTTGTGTGGTGTGAGCTGATTGGTTCCTCACACTGTCAGTAGATGGGTGTTTAATGTCAAGGTCTTAAATGTCAAAGTCTCAAATGTCAATGAGAAAAGATTCCCTTAAAAACCCTGTAGTTCCATGCTCAAACCCCCCCTCGCTCGAGGACACAGATGTTTGCAAACTTGTGTTTTTGGAGCGAGTGGGAAGTACTGACCACTACTGAAGCAGCTGGAGCCATGTTAGTCAAAAGCTAACGGCTAAGTTAGCACAAACTGACTCACTTTGAGATGTGGTTACAATGTCTTTTTTTATCAATTTTTGAAGAGTTTTATTTTGGAAAGAAGCCAGCTAACTGTTAACTAGCAGTGTTATTTTCTCTAATTTTTGAAATGGGAATTTCACTAATCCATAATTTAGCAGTTATTGTACAGGCTTAGTGAAAAAACACAACAACGCCACTATGGACAAAGGCAGATTTCCACTCTTTTTAAAATCTTGTTCCCCTCATCTCTCTGTAACAGTACATTAATAAATTCTTTGTTTGCCTTACCTTTTAAAACACATATTCACCAAAAGCCAACAAGCTGCATACACTTTTTTACCTAAATACTGCCTGTATTGTTCCACAGTCTCCTCACACTCTACAAAAGCTGGTTCCGCTTCATATTTTCTTTTTCAGACCATGAATACATTTGGATGTTGCTGGAAAATGTAGAATTTAAAAACTGAGAGTGAAACACGGTGCCTTTTGAAGGAGCCAAACACAATACTGACTGGAGTGCCCAGTTATGTAAGATGCTCCTGTTTGACTTCACTTCACCTCAGGGAAAGTGCATTCAGCTTTTGAGAGCGTAAAGCATTCAGAAAGTACTCTTACGTAAATTGTGCGCAGAGATAGAGGTCTCATAGTGGAATAATTACTATGAATAGAAGCGACGGATATCAAAATAGAGTAATGTTGCAGCTTGGACGTCAGTTTAAATCATGGCATAATGTTTCCTCAAAGCTTAAGTTTCTTTTTTGCATGTTTTTCATGATGGATTGTTTAACAATAGCCTTAAAACACCCACAAACCAAATCACATGAGCCAGTTCATCCTAAACTCAGCAGTGCTGTCATCGCCCCTGCTCTAGTCTGTGTATGCAAATCCATCCCCAAAGTCACAGGTGAAATGAATATGATGCAACACAATTTTACAGTTACACTTAAAAGTATCTTGCCTGGAGTATTTCCCCAAGATTAAAAATAACTTTGCACTCTCCCAGCGGCTGTTTGGATGCAAAGTGGCTCTTAGATTGATGAATGCTTGCAGACAGACCCGAGGTTCATGCTAATGAATTATAAACACAAAACTGAAGCAATTGTAGGAAAAAGAGAAAAGTATTAGGCAAAATTAGCTTGGTTTAAAGAGACAGTATATAATATGTCGTATATGTGTCCCCAGATAACGGGTCAATATCTTTAACGCAAATACAATGGACATGACGTTCATACTTTTTATGCTTTTGATTTTCAAGCAAATTAGCTAATCAGAGAGCAGAATGAAGTTATTATTTGGGTTGGTGGAATTAAGCTGGCTTATATTTCTAACAAATACATTTTTTATCCATTTCTTAGAAGATGCAGAAATTCGCTTCAAGAATTTTTTTTGTGCATTTACCGATTGGGCTGCCCGTTATTGCCAATGCAATATCGTTTTTTTTTTACTGTAATTGTCTGCTCTGAGATTTATTGACCCCCTTACTATTAAGCTATGTTCAGGTTTGGTCCTACACAAGAAGTAGTTGTTAGTATTCCAGTTCTGTGCAGATTGAAAAAGGAGACTAGACATTCCAAGACAAAAACTTCCTACACCACTTCTGAAACTGAATTGACGAGTTTATGAACGATGCTAACAGTATTGTAATCATCTATGTGTGTGTGTGTTTGCCTGTAGGGATTGCCCTGAAAATTGGTGTGTAGATGCGATAGAAAAGACCACATTCAAATGTCGAGATGATCAGTGGTGCTGTCTGCTTTGTTTTAATATAAAATAAAACTGATACCCTTTACATGTCACTTTGGGTTTATTCATTTTGCTGGTTTTAGGATGTTTTCGACCTGTTGCTGATCAACGCTTCCCCCACATGCTGGTCCTTTACAGGTACGATCTTTATCCATAGTGTTTGAAACTCATGAAGGTCACCAATCTCTTTGTAAATTGCAACTCCATGTTTTCTCACATCCACAGACCCATCCTTCAAGATCTTACTCACAGCAAGGACAAAGACTTTTGCCAATGCTTCCCACTGAATCAGCTTTTTTGATCCCACAACTTTCATCAAGTTTCCGATGTTCTGCGCGGCACATGCTCTCACGGCAACAGCCCGATGGACGAGCCCCGAATAAACCAGGGTTTTCAGAACCTGGAGGGAGCAACAGTTCTCCACCATGGATGTGAGAGCTTCGCTGGCTTGCTGCTGGATGAACATATTCAAATCTAAAACTTTGCAAAGCAAGAAGGCTCCAGTTTCAGCGATGACGTTGTTCATGGACTTTTTGAAGATGCGGAACATGACACAAAGCGTGGCCATGGCGGTTTTAGACACTGCTGAGCGCAGGTTTTTCACTTCCGCGCTCACGGCGAAAGACAGGCTGCAGAGGAGTCCTCTAAGAGATTCAGGCCGGCGCCTTGTCAAGTCTTGGACAGCAAACAGAGCCCTTAGCTTGTTCTCCCAGTTCTCAGAATCGAGCAATTGTAGAATTTGCCTAAGAGATTTTTCGGGAGGCCCACACAAGACTTGAATAGACATTTTCACCTGAAACAAAAATAGAACCAAGACAAGCAAGTTATTCTCTTAAATGTGTGTGAGGGAGTGCAATACATGCAGAGACGGCTTTAAGGACAAAATATTGTACATTATTTTTGTTCATTCCACAATAATGAGACTACTTAACTTTTTAATTTAATGTTTTAGAATGTGAAACAACATCTTCAAATGCTTCTACTACCACCAGAGGGAGAATTTTAATTTGTTTAATTTCATTTTCAATTTGAAATCTACTGGCTGAAAACACAGACTTGTACTATTGTGCGGTACTGTAATTTCCCCAGAGAAATAGCAAAAACTAATTTATGGGCAATGTTTTTGTTTTAAATGGCAGAAAACTGACCCAATTGGGATGTCACACTATTATAATGATATCATAATATTACACGAATGACACAGGAGCTTTTAGACAGGAAGGGGCGGAGTTACATGTTTGTGCTAAGATGGATCATGGATCTAACAAAAACTCCAGGTCAAATTTCCTTAAAAATGTAGTGATGGACACATGAGGACAAATAATTTTGTAACGGGGAAGTATCTAATTGAGAGTGAATGCAAAGTGATCAATGGAGGGGAATACTAGATCAAAGCGAGATCATGTACAGAAGAATACTGATGTAACCTAGATGTAAATGTGCATAATGACAAAGACAGACGTTACAGCACAGCAGCACAAATCAAAGCATCCTCTCTTGTGTTAATTAATTAAGGAATGATATTAACCTCTCCATAATAGCTGGGCACATCTTTTTCTTCTTCTGTTTGTTCTGGAGAATGTAGTGTGACCTGCAAAAACACATAAAGTGCTGTTAAACGCAAATTCCATTGTGCTATAAGTTATAATGTTTTTGACCATAAGATCTTGTAGAAAGTTACATATATAATAACCACCATCAGTTAGTTTTACTGTATTAGAATAGCTAGACAAATGGGGAGGGGCCTCAGTTGTCTATGAAGGATTTGCATTTATTGTGTCCAAACAGGAACCAGTGGGGGTGGGTCAAATACACCGAAAAAACAAGCAATCAATTTTTACAATTTGAAAAGTGACTTTAATGAACATGCTATTCCAATGGGTTCGAAATCTTACCTCTAGAGCAGACGTCAGGACGACCTCTGTAGAAATATTCTCAGCGTCTTTGGCCTTGCATGGTAACAGCTTTGGCTTTCCAGTTAGCATCTCCACCACTCTGTTGGCCTGTTCCTCTATGTGAGTTCTGACTCTTTCATTTTGGTCCATCAGGGTCCAGAAGGCACAATCGGGCACCCTATCCAGTATAATCTGCATATCCATATCCGACGTTGGAATCAAGTCCATATGGTCCGTCACTGCAGGGCTCTTCTGGATAGTGGAAAAATCTGCGGAATCGTTTATCATCCTCCAGGCTTTGCTTTCTTTGGACTTGTGTCTCCGTACAACTACAGGTTTAGATAGCATTACTACGGATAGCATCTCCATTACACTGTTGGTCTGTTCCTTTATGTGATTTCTGATGTCTGGGTTATCCATTAGAACACAGAAGACACTAGAGAGAACCCTGAGCTCTGGCCTGGGCTCTGACAGTGGAAAATTCTCTACCAATTCTTTGTCTGGCAGTGAATTATGAAGCTGTATCATGGAGTTGTCCTCAATTATGGGCATTTTCCCCTCCAGGATGGATAGAGCCTCCTCACTCTCCATGACAGACAGATATTTAAACCAAACAAGCATTTAAAAACAAACAAGCATTTAAATAAAAACGTTCACCCCAACCTATTTCTCGTAGCTTGGCAAGCCACACCCATCCTTACAGCTGAATACACAGGAGGAAGTTACCTGGCTACTGTTTTTCTAATACTGCACAATATTCTTGGCACTCAGGTTTCTGTCCCAATCTGTGACAATATGATGACCCCTGTGGATGGGCCATTTTCTGCACAAGGCAGACCAGTGGTATTGACTACCCACTAAACATCCGACGTCCACTCAACCTCCAGATCACGTCAATATCGCGTCGGTCGGTCGTGACCTTTTATTTACGTCCAAACGACGTCTGTGCAAGGTGCGCATCTGGACGTAAAACAATGACCTCCCATATACGTGGATATGACGTTCAATCCCGACCTCCCTTAGATGTCGAAAACAGGTCATCGGCTGACCGACGCAGTACGTCTTGATCTAGCAATACAATATATAGGCTGTGAAGCGATCTCAGTGTACCTGACGGTAGTGTAGTGGTTAAGCAAATGTGTGCAGCCTTGGTTACGTGAGTTCGAGCCCACGTGTGTGTATTATTATCTTTACATATTTGTTTTGATTTTTAACGAACTATTTTTTTCTGTTTGGTTAAAGACTAATAAACACTCAACATAGGATTACGTAGTGGCTAATAATAAAACTTGTGAATGTATGCATTTGTTGTGCTAACAATCTCAAGTTTGCAAATAAGGGGTGAGCACTTGAGATTGTATGCAAATGCATGGGTTCACAAGTTTTATTATTAGCCACTACATAATCTTATGTTGAGTGTTTATTCGTTTTTAACCAAACAGAAAAATTGTTCGCTAAAAAGTAAAAAGTCAAAAGTTTTCCGACGGGGATTTGAACCTGCGTCGTTGGGACTGAAGTCTCATTACGCAACCGCTACACCACGGCCAGGCATTTAACCAGACTACTGTGACAAAATAATACATAACACCCTAAACAACCGACGCACACTTATGCGCCGCGCGAGTATAACTTAGGCTTTACAGCCTGACACGTGAGTCGCTCGGTCGAGGACCTGTTTTCCACGTCTAAACGACGTAAGGTGTGAATCTGGACGTAAAGTAATGCCTTCCCAGACGTTGATATGACGTTGAATCTGTACCTCTGTCGCTGCCCTGCTTTATTTAGCTACTTGGAATCACCCTCTCTAGTAAGTACACAGTCTGCACAGTTTTTAGATATAGATGTATCATTTCCACATTGAAAAGAGTTGGAGACAGAAAGTAAGTTGTTTTCTCACGTATACGTGGATTTTGTTAAGTATATTTTGTATATTATCTGTATTTTGAATTGCCAGTGCATGAATCTATTGAGAGTGAGGAGCTGACGTCATAGCACAGAGCCCCTCCCCGTCTCCGCCATGTTGGTAGGATCCCAGCGGCAAACACTTGTTGTTGTTAACTCGGTAGCAAAGGAGGTCGTCGCTATTTCTGTTTTACCATGCCTGGAGCTCATTGCTGTGTGAAAAACTGCTCCAGTACCTCACACAATAAGAAAGGAAAACGTAGGAACAACGGTTTACAATTTTTTAGGCCACCAAAATGGATACAACATCAGGGAGCGCAAGTGTCTGACCTGACGAAGAGACACCGGATGGCTTGGTTGGCTGCAATAAGAAGAAAGAACCTTACTTTGGATCTCACCCCCAGTCGATGAGAGTGTGTTCTCTGCATTTTCACTCGGGTACGTCCTAAAATGTCTTTATTTTGTTTTTTTAAAGTTAAGAAGTGTAGGTTACCTAGCTGTTAATGTTGCAAACACTGAAGTGCATCTTAAGTTAGCTGCCTAGCTAACTATCTAACTAACTGTTGCCTCTATGAAAATGCTTAATGGCCAACCATTAATGTTAACTAAGAATATTTAAGTTTCTGCTCATTATCCTACCTTGTTGGTGGAATATGGGCACTCAAAGTGCGTTTGTCTCTGTCTCTTATGTTCTCTAAACCAGTGGTGCCCAAACTTTTTTTTGTCTTGTGTTTCCACTACCCCCTGAGCCCTTTTATGAAACCATGAATAGCGTTACCTTCTTGTTTAATATTTCTTTAGATTCCAGATTGTTTAATAATCTTATTAATCTGATGTAAGTAAACCATTATATGAGATTGCTAAAAATAGTTGAGATTCTGTTCATGACATTATGCTACCTTGTTGCCAGTTTAAAGCATTGACTACATACATTATTCTGTTCTAGGTAAACCATCATATGAGATGTTGGAGAATCACCCTGACTGGACACCATCCTTGCGGTTAGGCCACAATAATGTTAAAGAAACAGATGGAGCGCGATATCAGCGGCAAGTAAAGCGCAGTACCCAGCATCTGGAGCAGTCATCACTCCCAGCCCAAGCCCAGCAGCCTCCATCGCCAGCCCAAGCCCAGCAGCCCCCATCGCCGGCCCAGCAGCTGCCTCAAGGAAGGATGAGGAAGCTCTCACCCTTCCAGCTTGTCCTATTGACTGTAATGCGCCTCAGATTAGACCTTCCATCTCAGAATTCACGTTGAGAGGGTGATTGGTGTTGTGCGCAACAAATTCAAATTCTTACATTCAACTGTACCTGTGCATATGCTTCTCAAATGTGAGGGTGAAAACCTAATGCCTTTAGATAAGATTGTCACTGTTTGCTGTGCCTTAACGAACATGTGCAAAAGTGTTGTTTGAGTGCCTTGTTCATAACTTATGAACCAACCAGAACCCCTCATGTCATCTGGATCCGAGTCCAGAGTCAGAACCAGACACGGAGAAGCTGCATTCAGCTTCTATGCTCCACATGTCTGGAACAAACTCCCAGAAAGCCTCAGATCAGCTGAAACACTCAGTTTGTTTACATCCAGGTTAAAGACCCACCTGTTCTCAGCTGCTTTTGAATATTTTTTATTCTAATGTACAAATCTGCACGGCTTCTTTTAATCTGGAATTACTTATCTGTTATCTTTTTCCTATGATTTTTTGTTTTTAAGTTAAAGTTTAAAATATGATATTGTTTTTCATATTTCAAACTATTTTTAACACATTAGAATTCTTAGGTTAGACTGTCCAACAAACTATGTGTTAAAAAGGGTTAAGATTCTTGAGTTTTAAAATAATAATTCAATTCTAAAATGTAAAGTTACTGTATATTTCACAATGGTTTATAAACTGCAAAAAGACAACAGTACTTAGTAAACTAAGTTTAAAAACAGGGAGATCAGCTTTAATATTTGGGACACTCCCATCATTTAGACACCTGTGATGTCATCAGTTGGAGTTGAGTTCAGGTGTGGGACCATGTGGGACCATGTGGGACCATAGGAGCACACAGATGTTACCTGCTGCAGAAAGAGAGTTTAATGTTCATGTATTGCTTTGTTTAATAAATGGATTTAATGTCTTCCCAGGTCTTCAATGTCAGAGACTTTCACTTCTTCTCACTGTGGCTGTTCAAATGAGCCACTACAGTCGTTATTTTTGTTATTGTTAGCTGCAAATATTAAATATCCATTCATCTGCTGGTAGCAAGCTAACTAGCGCTTGCAACTCTATTCAATTTCTTACTTTTTCTTATAAACATTAAAACCAGCCATATGATAATTAAAATACATTTACCTTTGCTAATGCAGTCAATTTTTTGTGAAATCCATAGAGTATAATTTCATGATTGTTGCAATAACTAATGTTCTATGTGTATTCCTAATGTGTCATGTGTGTTTGAGTCTTACAGGTGTCAGACTGTGTTGAAGGTGTTCAAAGGTAAGAATCACACTCTCACACATTGATTGTTGTTCTGTATTAATATGTTGTTTTTAGAATAAACCATTATTTGGTGTATTCTCTTTGAAAACATCTATCTTTTTCTCAGATTGTTCAGCAACTCACTCATGATGAGGGAAAAGAACAACAAGGGGAAAATGCCCGCTCGGAAATGCGACATGTGTAGAGTAATACAGGGTAAGTAGCTTTCAGGGCTCATTTGTGTCCATGTGCAAAACAAATGCACATTTGCAATTGTTTTTTTACATGGAATTACTCCAATGACCAAAGCCTTATCCCAAGTTTCTCAGACGGAGTGTCTTCCAGTGTCTCGAGCTAGTGCAGTGCCAAGGTTTGTATCACATGGTGATGGATCGAGTGGTTTGAGGCATTAATAGAAAGTTATGTGTTGTTATATCACTTTGCCACATTATGTTGAAACTAAACATGTTCCACATTTCCAGGTGCTGTGCTTGGACCTTGTGATGAGACTGAAGACCAAGAGAGGACACATGTTGGAACCTCAACATTCAATAAATGCATTCTTCTGCCTTTCAGATTGTGTTTTTACATCTGGGGAACCTAGAGTGTAGCTTGTGCCTGTTTTAATACTGATCCAAACATAGGCGCTACAATCATGTTTTTTTACTTTGGCATGAACTGTTCAGTACAGTAGTGTTCATAACACTGTACCCTGTGTGGATTAACTTGTACTTTGATGTAGAGAAACATGATTTTTAATGCAGCTCCATTTGCAATAATGACTGATATCCTTCTACTACAGTTGTTCTAATGATTTTTGAATGCTGTGTTTATCGTTTATTGCCCAGAGTCAGAACTAAAC